TCACAATCTCTCTTTCCCTTTGCCGCGTCATGGTTCACCGATTTCTGGGTTTGTTACCCAGAATTCAGTGCTGAAAAATAAGCCTTCCTTGGTATTTTCGCACGACTACAAACGGGAACTAGAAAACGCTCATTTTGACCTACTGCACACACCCAGACTCAACTCGTGAATTAAAAGCTCTATTCTGAAGGGCAGTACTTATTTGGTTAGATGCCCCAAATCCTAAGATAGTTACTGTTCGTATGAACCCACGTCACAATTACGAATAATGACAACGTGGTTTCGTTGGCCTAATTTCCGTGGCTGAAACGATACAGTAGCGTGTGACCAGAATGAACGCGTGCTAATCTACTGCACCAGGCCATAAGGTTGCTGAGAACTTCGACAGCAGCTTTATGTACTCCGTTTGAGGTAAACTTAAGTTTATTACTAGGTAACCCCCTATCTTAGGAACGAGTCTCATTCTGAAAGACCGAAGCACCAAACTTTTCTACGTTTTGTACATTTGTACACATGTACACATGTACACACATGTACACACAACATTTCGACTTGCCGTTAGAATCGACTGCTTACAGGACGTAGAGCACTGCGTTATGCTTCCACGTCACATCGTGAAAACCTGCCCACATGATAGACATTTAAAGGCGAGGATAACTGAGCCCAAGGAAGCAAACTGACTTACGGGTGAGCAGCCGGTATTTCTGCCGCGTCTCCCAATAGTGAAAATAATTGATTCGTGCATATAGCGAAGAAAATACCTAACTTAACCAAACTATAGCTTAATCAAAGTAGTCTATTGCTCTCATTCGAACAAATTAAAAAATGTTTGACGGTTGTGCTACGACAGTTTATTTGCTTCAGCCGTACGTCACACAGGCATAAGGAAATGATAAGTCCCATCCTTTCAAGCTTAATCCATGTTAAGCATACAAATGGATGGCTGTGCACACAAATAAACCTATTCCGGCTGAGTTGGTATCCAACAGCGAACGGTTTTTTATGCATCTTGAACAAATAATCTACGTAATCAGCCGAGCAAAATACAAAGGACTCCGAAGAAACTGCAGTCGAGCCGCACGCTGTCTACCTATCCAGGATAAACAGGAGAACCGTAGCAGGGACCATGACATACCAACTGCCAGTATAACAGCAAGCGCCTTATCGGTACAGCAGAAATCATTCTTACTAACGGGTTTCTGTGGCAGTCGATCTGCACTCTGTGCATTTGAATAGTTATACAAAAAGGAATTCTTTTCCGTTAGCCCATAAGAGGAAGCACCGTACACGTCATTCATTCCCATCAGACCTCAATACAAGTGCATGTTCCTCACAGAGCCAGGCTTTGAAATTGTCACAATTCGACTAGGGATACTAGAACATGTATGAACAGGCAAACGTTTGAACGATCTGATCAATTTGCCAACATCACGAGCGAAGACCCATAAGCTTGTGGGAGACTTCCCGTTGCCCTGAATAGAAGTACCTGAGAGCGCACACAGCGATAAGTATTAAAGCAAGTCGTCTTTCGCTGAAAATATGGTATTTCCAAATCAAACCAAACCGCTCATGTTATTGACAACTGATTACAGTAGTACAAACTTCAGCCTGACGAAAATCGCGTCGCCACAATGGGTCACGGTTTGCAAAAGGACTCATAGGTGCTGACATTTTCATCACCCTAAAGCCTCACGATGTGAACTTGTTTTATTGCAGCGAAGCATCAGTGCTGGGCTCGACATAAGTGCGAACTTACTGACCGGAAGGTGTGCACTTAGAATCCAAAGCCGGTGTTGCAATTGTCCCTGTCTCCACTTGAGCAACTCGGCAGCATCTCAACCATCATAACCTCTTCGGGGGGTATGGCAGTTAGGCACCGAAATGTCACAACAAAATGTGAAAGCCGGGGGGGTAGGAATAACCTTCGAGTTGTTTTGTTCGGAAGGAATTGGCTGAAAATCAGATGTGGCACGCAGCGACCTTAAGGCAGGGGTTGCTTGCATTAGCAACTCAGGTAAAAAGATAATCGTTCAACTGTAAAACCTTTTCAGTGCCTGGCTTCCATGCCACCTGAAAGAGAGTCGAGATGCAGAGGTCGGTTTTGAACCACGGAATTTCCGGTTGGTAAATTCCCCCTCCAAGCAACTGAAACATCACGCTCATCCTTACTGCGACGAAGGCAAGTGAAAACGGGATGGGATGAGTTCAACCAGCAGCAACCAAAGTTCTCCACATCTACGAGTGACTACACGGAACAACACGACACGGAGACTCCACCTTGGTAATTATAAATTGGAGATTTGACCTACAAATTTGGTTCTAACGAAGACAGCCGGTGCATTCATCCTCCAATCGAAAAAATGACTACTGAAGAGCGCAGTTTCTCACCGCAGAATACCAGATGGCGGGGAACAGATGCTTTTACTAGCATGTCGAGCTGCAGTCTTCCGGAAAGTCATTGCGGCGGGAACGATGGAAGCTTTGAAGCGTCTGCTGGGCACTCATCCACAATCACCGTCCCGTGACGCGATCGGACTGTTGGAAACCGAGCGTGCGACAAGTGCTAGTCATGAGGACCTGTACAAGCGCGACTCCCACTCTGCGAAGTCTAGGTAAACAACAATGGCAACCAGGAGCGACCGACGTAACTGTCTCCTAACTCAGCTTCCTGCGGAGAAACACTCCTGAACGTTTCGAAAACAGGGAGTGATTCTGTCACTTCTCTTCTAAATCCGGATTTCTACCCAAGTATCTACCGCAGCAGATCACTGAGGCCCTGAACAACTTCCAAAGGAATGTAGCCAAATAAAGATCATGGTTAGCCAAGTCACCTACGAATCGATTTGAAGCATCACGTCCCAGTAACTGCGTTAGATCGGCAAACCTACATATGCAATAACCCTCAAAACAGAACTTTCGAATCACCTACTAGGGTTCCACACATCCTCACATAGCACACGAATACAAAAATCCGTCAACCAGCAAACGAGCATCAAGCAGCAAAACCATTGGAAGAGCCAGAACAGTTCATAATAAAGGCTAACATACTTGGTCTCCGGTGGTTTTGGGATCAAGGTTAGTAACCAGAATGGTGCGCCGAATCTCCTCGATGCGATTGCCGTCTGTCGTTGCAGGGAGAGGGGGGTAGAGAGGAAAAACGAGAGTGGACAATCTAGGCTCAATGGTATGTATGACTTGTTCCCCAGGGCGACCAACTACCATACTGATGACATCTAGGGGCCAATCAGCCGTTCTGGGCAATACACCGGCGGCAGTGTTCGGAGGAGCCCTGACGAGATTCGCATACTTCTCGTCGGGAATCGCCTCCAAGCCATCCACAAGAGGGAGAACAATCAAAGCGCGATCCAGAAACACCGTATTATTCAGATGAAGGGCAACTTCAGCATTGATTGGGTCATGATATCGTATGTAGGCCACCTAACCACTGACCAGGAAACAGGAAGTCGCTTACCTTGCTCGCAGGTTCCTCTTTTTCATCGCCTGGGTACAACACAAACTCCTCCAAAACACCTATGTGGCCGAACAAGGTTCTCAGTTGTTCTGTTGTGGCGCTGGGTGAGACATTGGTGACCTGGACGATCTTGCTCCGGACAGTCGACGTCATGGCGGCCCACAAAATCGAAACAGGGTTAGCGGCCTTCAAATTTGACATACTTGGTGCACTATAACAACCGCCATGGAATCGTAGACTAATACAGCATCGAGATCTTTTCCCAAGATTGTTGAATCTCGTTCGTTCTTGTCGTTCAGCGGCTTCCTGTTCATCTGAAAGGCACAAACAAGAAGATAGGCAGCACTACCATTGAGGTTCTCGGCGAAGGGCAGTAATCTTGCCACCGCGAGGACTCAAACGAGTAGCTGAAGGCGCTTTTGAACAGGGCACTAGATGCAGTGTGAACAACCACGCATGAACTACCCAAGATGAGAAAAATTGTGGCCTGATAAGGGCGTACCCATTGAGCCTGAAAATCTTATCATGTCTTTGGTGTGCGTTATTTGGGTAAACAGCTGAAAAACTTTTGGCCAATGTTTGCTCAAACAGGGCTTAAGTAATTATTAGGTCTCTTCGGAAGCGACAATAATCCAGAAGTGAGATGTCGAACACTGCGAGATGCGCCTACTAATCGGCCTATTAATTACCGACATCCATTTTCTTAGCAGCTCGTCGGACATGCTCGACAAGGGTTACGACTTTCTTGCGTCCGCGTAATCGGACTTGTCACGTAATATTAGCTGCCACGTCGCGTCATAGACCCAAAGAAGGTCCCTCGTGTCCCAAAAATACTGATTTCTGCGTTATTATCTCTCTATACGGCCAACTGACATTGTCAAACTGTCCTCTATGCACGTTTGTACAACGTTTAGTGCTCACTTGTTGTTGCCGCTTCAGTGGCTATTTCCCGCTCCTAATTATTGCGTCATTATTGATTGTACGTTTTTATAATGAATGATACTTACTAATCCGTTTGTAGAACCACTTCCTGTCAGTCCTGAATACATCATCTGCTGCCTACGCCTGTCTGCACCTTCTGTCTACTGGCAACTAACTGCGTATAATCCATTAATAGCAATCGTCCGGTGAGATCCATAACCATCCGGATCTCGCAAAGACGTTAACGTGGATAAAAGTAACCAAGGCCCAGCGTACGTCTCGCCGTCCCCCTAATTGAATCATGTGCTCAGGAGGTTTGTTTCAGAAGTTCGTCACTCTTGTGACAAGCGACCTACGTTAGCAAACGGGTTCCATTTTTTGTAATGTACTGGTCATAAGGTTGCTGAAAATCCGTAGACAGCCCACGACCGGTTTCGCCTTTTTTGGGGGGCTCATCAGATAAGCGCAGTCCCCGGGTTTCCGTAAACCTTATGAACTACTTGAAACCCAATTGCACGAAATTAGCGAATATACACTCATAGGCAAACTAATTTGGTTTTTTGGCGTGAATCACCTGGAACCCAGCTGAGTCTCTCATTCATGATGTTCTCAGGCAACTGAATGTGCTGCACCAGGCCGCCTCATGTTTCAGTCGCTACGGTATTTGAAACATCGCGATACATATGTATCTTTCTTTCTTTCTTTATTTCTTTGTGGTATTACGTTCCCCGCCTGTTGACCAAACGCCTCATTTAACTGAAAGAGCACTCACGCATTCCGACTAGATCAGGTGGAGCTCATACCTTCCACATCGCTTGTCTTTGGATCTCACATTTTGACGAACGTTGGGAAATCTTGATTTAAAAGCAGGGATATCCTTTTTGATCCTTCTTAATCTAAGCAGCCCATACAGGTATTGCGCATTACAAACATGAACAAAGAACGTGCGCAGATTTAAGTGCAACCCCAGCACACCCTGCATTTTGTGATCTGCGAAATTCTTGAATCCAAGTGAATCAGAAAGTAGCTGTTCACGGTCCTTGCTGTGAATCATTTCAGCGGTATCCGCCACGGAAAGATCAGATGTACTCCAGCTTTGATGGTGGTACTGTATCTGCACCGATGTCACTGGAGGTACGATGCTTTGCATTCATGCCTGCACCCAGAACATAGCACTCTACTGCGTCGAACAGCAGAATCCAGTGTTTCATGCACTGAATAGGGCAACCAGGTGAGCTAGGATGATGTTAAGAGCAGCCAGTTCTCCTGCATACCCTCTGACTTTTAATGGGCACGTTGTAGAAACTGTGGAAGAGAGCTTGCCAACAGTGTGCTCCCGTTTCCAACCCCAAGTGACAGCAAATCCCCATATTTATTCCCCTTGACCGGATGAACTGAAACCTCCTTGTTTTACTGAACTATTCCTGTAACTCTTACGAACTTTGGTCGGACATTGTTATTTTTGCGGTTGCTCGCCGTCGAAATCTGTTTGGTTGTGACGATATCGATTTTTGAGGCGTAGTGATCTGCGCTTTATCCTCAGGCTGGTAATTGTACCGCCTTATTTTTGTAACCCTACGGTATCTGCAGAGGAGAATCCGTTAAGGTTTGTTGAACATGTATATTATTATAGTTGCAATAGTACCGTGATTCTAGAATTCGAATTTCTTGTTCGATTTCCTGGGTTGGCACGGGTGCCTCAAACCCAGAAAGCAGATACCCGTAACAGTACGCAATGGATTCAGTACTCAGTGGTTTAAGTACTCAACGGAGTACGGATCTCATCATCATCATTGTCAGCCATAATAACCTCGTACTCGTCGTACAGTGGCTGTAGCTGCCACAGTTTCGTTCACCGATGGTTTCAGGGGTAGTTAGTTGCATGTTGCAGGCGGGAGCTGATAAATTGGTGAA